TTTATTTTGGCAAAATCGGGATTAAAGGTTTATGGCTTCTCCCACTCTAGAATGTTTACAAAGTAAAATTTCTAGTCAAGATATGAATATGTAAATTTCATATATAGCGTTAACTTACAGTAAAATAATTAAAACTTTATGGCAGTGAGCTAACAGTCTTTGAATAAATACAAATTAGGAGCATATTTAACAACTTGAGAACAACTAATTATCAGTACAATGCAGACTTAGGATAATGTCCTTCTTTGGTAATCGTATCCTTAAATTCCCTCTGAGTTTTTATTTACATGTCTCACCACCACACCCAAATAAAGCCTAGCAGAATGATGAGCACTCAGATATTGGAGACATCACTCTGCTTGAGACTTTATTGGCATAAGTGTATTTTTTTTTTTTTTTTTTTCGGTACGCGGGCCTCTCACTGTTGTGGCCTCTCCCATTGCGGAGCACAGGCTCCGGACGCGCAGGCTCAGCGGCCATGGCTCACGGGCCCAGCCGCTCCGCGGCATGTGGGATCTTCCCGGACCAGGGCACGAACCCGTGTCCCCTGCATCGGCAGGCGGACTCTCAGCCACTGCACCACCAGGGAAGCCCAGTGTATTTTAAATTTCAATTTTAAGTTGGCCTTTCTAAGAAGCTGTCTATACAGATGAATGAAGGGCATAAAACAGAACTTCAAAAGAAATCAGACATTGGCTTCTTATGATGACATGTTGAAAAATAGGTTCAGAAATAAACATTTCAGCTGTAATATAAACTGAACTACAGTTAGTATTTCAGACTTTATTTATTTATTTATTTCAGACTTTTACAACTATAAATGGATATTATTCAAAGTACGTTCATAAACATTAAAGCCTATTATATAACATTGATAGCAGTTAATAGTTTCTTTCTTAGTCTCTCTATATAAATAATCAATGAACGAATAATTTTCTCCCTATTCTGCAAAGCCAAGTAGCCAATGCAACTGATTTCAGATTTAGGATTTTTTTTTACAATCACTCAAACATATAAAAAGTAATTTTAATACCTTCGGAAAATTATAAGAATATGAAAGGACAATTTTAAACTCCTACACTTTTTACTGTTAGAGAGTTCTAAGACATTAAAGAGTTTTTCTTCTTAAACCAGGTAAGAATAATAATGTGCAGAAAAAGATAAGAGAATTTTGTTATGCAAGCAAATAATTATACTTCAGACTGGAATTGCTTTTGAATTTATTTTCTCTCTAAAGAGAAACCAGAAAGAAGAGAATCGTGTGAAACTAATAAACCATCCCATTGCTTTCAAACAATTCCTTTTCATACAGAAACTTCTAATCAATCACACTATTACGTGGGTGGGTATCTTTTCCTTCACTCCTCTTCTGGTAGATCTGGAGAAGTTAGATAGAGAAGATCTAGATTTGGAAGCAAAGGAGAAAGAAACACATAATAAGAAATGCTATCCAGCAGACCAATTTACTCATGCTTAATTTCTTTTTATAGCCGATGAATTATGAAAAGTTACCACGGTTTTTCAGTGCTGAAAGCAACTTCATATTTTCTTACCTTTCAATATAAATACAGCACTGTATTTGTTTAAAAGTCTGAATATATGCTATTAAAGAGGTTTTACATTAAATTATTTTTCATCTAATAATCTTGATTTGCTCAGTGACCCACATTGGTACTCTCAACTATTTTTTTTTAATATTATGGACATTGATTTTTGATATTTATACCAGCTAGGAAGGTTATTTGGAGCAGGTTAAAGAAAGATATCAGAACCAAAATCTTACTTTGGGGTATTTTATTTAACAAACAGAATGGTCCCAGAGAAAGACAAATACTGTATGATATCACTTATATGTGGAATCTAGAAAATACAACAAACTAGTGAATATAACAGAAAAGAAACAGACTCACAGATATAGAGTACAAACTAGTGATTACCTTTAGGGACAGGGAAACGGGGAGGGGCAACATTGGGGTAGGGGATTAAGAAGTACAAACTATTATGTATAAAATAAACTACAATGATATATTGTACAACACAGGGAATATAACCAATATTTTATAACTATAAATGGAGTATAAACTTTCAAAATTGTGAATCACTATATTGCACACCTGTAACTTATGTAATATTGTCCATTAACTATACTTCAATTTTTTTAAATTGTTCTGAGGATTCTTAATACTACAAGGCCATTTAATAATTAGTAGTTAGCAATACATTTTAAATATATGGTAGGGAAAAATATAACTAATTTTCACTTAAGAGGATCATGGATATTTTACAGGAAGAGAATTACTGGTGCCAGGGTTTCTCTAGGCAGTATAAATTTTTTAAAAGCTTTAATACAGATATAATTGACATATAACAACATTGTGTAAGTTTAAAGTGTAAACTTTAACTTAAGGGATCCCTTAAGTTCCAACACATTCTAACAAATCTGCACTTTTACTGCCCACTCCCGCAACATTTTTGACCTCACATTTTACATAACATCATACTTAATGGTGAAAGACTGAATGCTTTCCATCTAAGATCAGGAATAAGACAAGGATGTCTGTTCTCACCACTTCTATTCAACATTGCACCAGACTAGTTAGGGCAATTAGACAAGGAAAAGAAAAGGCATCCAGATTAGAAATGAAGAAGTAAAACTACATCTATTTGCAGATGACATGAGCTCATACATAGCAAATCCTAAGGGACCTACTAAAATCTATGAGAATTAATAATTTCATTAAGGTTATAGGATATAAGGTCGATAAGCAAAAATCAATTACAGTTCTATATATTAGCAATGAATAATTCAAAAATATAAATTAAGAAAATTCCACTTACAATAGCACCAAAAGAATAAAATATCAGGAGTAAGCTAAACAAAAGAGGTATAAAAATTGTATTCTAAAAAATTATAAAATGTTGAGATAAACTAAGTTAGATCTGATTACAGTTGACCCTTGAACAACGTGGCGATTAGGGGCACTGACCCTTCACACAGTTGAAAATCTGCGTATAACCTTACAGTTGTCCCCCTGTATCTGTGGTTCTGCATCCACAGATTCAATCAACCATGGATTGTGTAGGACTGTGGCACTTACTTAGTGAAAAAAATCCACATAAGTGGACCTACACAATGCAAACCCATGTTGCTCAAGGGTCCATGTTCATGTATTGAAAAACATAATTGTGAAGATAGCAATACTTCCCACATTGATCTACAGATTAAAGATAATGCTATCCAAGTCACAGCTGCCACTCTGCAGAAACTGACAAGCTGATATTAAAATTCATATGGAAATTCAAGGAACCAGAATAACCAAAACAATCTGGAACTACAAAATTGGAGAACTCACACATCCTGATTAAAAAACTTGCTATAATAATGCAATCATCAATAGAACTATTATAGGATTAGTTCAAGGATTGACATTACATCAGTGAAATAGAACTGAGAGTCCAGAAATAAACCCTTACATTAGTGGTCAACAGATTTTTGACAGTAGTGCCAAGGTAATTCAATGGGGGAAAGAACAGTAATTTCAACAAGTTGTGCTAGAACAATTGGATATCCATATGCAAAAGAAGTTGGACTCCTTCCTCACACCATACACAAAATTTAACTCAAAACGGATCATAGACATAAATGTAAGATACAAAACTATAAAACTTTTAGAAGAAAATATAAATGTAAATATACGTGACCTTGGATTAGTCAATGGTGTTTTAACATATAAAGTACAAGCAACCAAAGAAAAAATAGACAAACTGGACTTTAACAAAACTAAAAACTTAGGCTTCCCTGGTGGCGCAGTGGTTGAGAGTCCGCCTGCTGATGCAGGGGACACGGGTTCGTGCCCCCGTCTGGGAAGATCCCACATGCTGCGGAGCGGCTGGGCCCGTGAGCCATGGCCGCTGAGCCTGTGCGTCCGGAGGCTGTGCTCCGCAACGGAAGAGGCCACAACAGTGAGAGGCCCACGTACTGCAAAAAAAAACAAAATAAAACAAAACAAAAAAAAAAACTAAGAACTTTTGTTCTCAAAGGACAACACCAAGAAAGTGAAAGGACAATCAATAGAATGGAAGAAACTAATTTGCAAATCATGTATCTGATGAGGGCCATGTATTCAAAATATATAAAGAATTTTTACAACTTGACGATAAAAAGACAAGTAAGTCAATTGAAAAACATGGGCAAAGGATTTGGATAGCTGTTTCTCCATAGAAGAGAGACAAATGGCCAGTGGATACATGAAAAGATGCTCTACATTGTTAGTCATTAGGGAAATGTAAATCAAAATCACGAGATCCCACTTCACATGCACTAGCATGGCTATAATAACAGGTACTGGTGAGAATGTAGAGAAATTGCAACACATATATTGTTGTTAGGAATGTAAATTGCTGTAACCACTGTAGAAAAGAGTTTGGCAGTTCCTCAATAAGTCAAACACAGAGTAACCATATAGTGCAGCAGTTTCACTCTTGGGTATACACCCAAGAGAACTGAAAAGATGTTCAAACAAAAACTTGTACATGAACGTTCAGAACAGAATTATTCTTCCCTCCTTTAGACAACGAATCATCCCAAATTGAGGAGGTGGACTTTAGAGCAAGATTTATTATTTTTTTCCCCTTTTCCTCTTTTTGTGAGTGTGTATGTGTATGCTTCTGTGTGAGATTTTGTCTGTATAGCTTTGCTTCCACCATTTGTCCTAAGGCCCTATACGTCCGTTTTTGTTTTTTAATTTTTTTCTTAATAATTATTTTTAATTTAATAACTTTATTATATTTTACTCTATTTTATTTTACTTTATCTTCTTTCTTTCTTTCTTTTTTCCTTCCTTCCCTCCTTCCTTCCTTCCTTCCTTCCTCCCACCGTCCCTCCCAGAATTATTCTTAATAGCCAAATAGCCATGGTGGCTTACTCCCTTGCCATAGCGAGCTCTGAATAAATAGGCATTGCTTGTTCTCACTGAGATGATCTTCCTTTTTTCCTGCAGAGTATTACCACTCCGCGTGAAGAGGTAACGGAGGCCAAAGGAATGGCTGAAACGGAGCAGGAGAGAGTAGAGAAACTCCGCCGTGCAAGTCTTTCCAGGTAAGATGACACCTGCCTAGGAGCCAGAGAGTCAGCTGAGAACTTAGCAGAAAAGTATAAGTGTGGTATCCTGGAATTTAAGGGAAGGGAGTTTTGCAGATTGAGTGTAGTCAGTTGCTAAATTCTGCTGAGAAATCAGAGGGAAAACTAAGCAAATGAAGATGATTGACGTTATTTTAAAGAAGGCGTAAGATTAGAGTAGGTTAAAATGTGCATGGAAAATAATGAATTGGAGACGAGGAGTACAGAAGACTCATTCGAGAGCCTGGACTAAGGAGTGTGTGCATGTGTTGTTTTACTACGTAGCCTTACCAGCGTTTAAACCTCACCTCCATGTGGACACAACGATCCAGCGGGCAGAGAGCATGAAGACAGTGTGAAAGCGGCAGTTTGAGATTCCTGAGAAAGTGGGAAGGGAAGGGATCCATACACAGATGGAGCAATGGTCAGACCTTCCATGAAACCCAGAGGAAGAGGAGGGTCAGGGTGGGCAGAGTAGGAGGGGGATTAGATGGGAGTCTTGTTTTGTACTTGGAGGCTGAGGGATATACCATGTGATGACTTCTCTTTTCTCTGTGATATGAGGCAAGGCCATCTGCCTGAAGATTAGGGCCTAAAATTTGAGGTGAATAGAAGAAGTTAGAAGCAGTTATTGTGGAGCGCAAGGCAGCAAGTTGACCACAGATATATAGGTTTGCTGTACAGTTTGGGATTCGATGAAGAATTTGAAGCATTTCCAATCTGACTTCTTATGTATTCTCCAGCAGCAATAACATACCTGTTTGAAGACTTCAGGTTCCTTCCAGAACAATGAGATGAAAACAGAGCAGCAGGAAAACGTGTAATACTGGCAGCGATTATGGAACTAATGAATTATACAGTCTTAGCAGGAGAAAGGGACCAGTCAAGGGTCAATGCTCTGGAAGGCCTGATGGGGTTAGAATAGTGGCAGTGGCTGACCCAAGCTCTAGGCATGACCACAGGTGTGCAGGGCCAAGACCAGTGAAGGAGGCTTGGGAAAGCCTGTCTATTCTGCCTATTTCTCTTCTCTAATAGAATTTTAACAAAGCAAAGCAGAAGACATGTGGTTTGCATTATTATTTTGTTTATAAATATTCTGAGTGGTAACAGGTAAGCTCTCAAGGATTTTAATTATAAATTAGCATTATTCTAATGAATTGTAGATACACTGACAAGATTTTTAATGTTTCTGGTGAAAATTGCTAATAATTTTGTTAAGATCAGGAAAGTTTAGAATTCATCTCACATTTTGATATTGTTGGTAGTGTGGAGAGAATTGTGGCATTCAATATCACACATCACTATTAAAAAAAAATACATCCAAAAGTGGAATGTATTGAAGGAGTTAATGATAAGTGATTTTGTTTTTCTCAAGTCACTTAAAAAATATTCTCTTGTTATTGTCAAAGAATAATATATTTTTCAAATACATTACCGCTATGCAATAATAAAGTTTACCTATATCACTAGGTCACTAATTGAATACATAATTGAGAACAAACAAAAAATTTATGCTACAAAGAAATTTTAGATTCCTAAACATGTTAGACAACAGCTACCTTAACTAAGTATCTGCAAAAAGAATTATTACACACTTTGTAATGAGAAATCAGTTTCCAAAGTGAAGAATACTCTGAAATTTGGCTTTAGTCCATCATATACATATTTTGCATAGGGGAATGTACATGTATTATAATAATATATATGTAAAACCTAGCTGTATATTTAAATATTCAGTATGTTATATTGTATATATTATCATAAAGGCATCAGGGTCTTTATAAAAAAGTTTTATTTCATCGGTAAATTAGGAACATTAGGGATTTTCTCTGACATGGTCTTCAGACACTAGACTATGATTAACTGAGAAAACAGTAATTTTCTATATTTTGTTTAGTCTTGAGCAAGGCGTCCTACAGATACTATAGTCCATGCAAGAATCCCCTATACTTCAAGCTGCTCTCCGCTATTCACACACTATAAAGGTTTATAGGCTAAACTTTAGGGGCCAAGTCTTATCTTCAAGGAGCTCACATTCCAGTACTGGTAAAATTTGATGAAATAAAGCAGAATATATGATAAATGACTTTAAAAACCTACTGATAAAAATGCAGTGACTGTTGAGAGTGGAACATTATTTTAAACTCTTTGGATGAGGGTGGGCCTCATGTAGGAAACGGAGTTGGAAGAGAACCCTGGGGGAGAGGCAGGGTTTGCACTTGGTGAGATGAGCGAGGAAGAGTTCAGTCTGGCAGCTAATATCAGGAAATAAAGCTGAAAATGCGTGTTGGGGCCTGACGGTAGTACCTCTTAAATGCTAAGACAATAAATATTGATACAAGGTTCATTTCGTTTCTTTGAGCAAAATTGTTGGAGTGTCTGCTGTATCCAGGCACTTTTTTCGGCTGAAGATAGGAAGATAAATAAATGCAACCCAATGATGAGAGTCTAGCTAAGCTACCCCATGGTGTTGCTGCCAGGCATGCATTTTGTGTGGGGCTTTACACTGACACCAGCGCCTCCCACAAACGAAGCACATGCCCTGGAGAGCAGTGCAAGGTCACAAGCAAACAGAAGTTCCTGACGTGAAGCCCCAGCAGCCTTTGTGATCAACAGTCTCCCTGTCTCCCAGGGCCTGGTTACCTTATGTGCCCCTTAGGTAAGACCCCCTGGGGCTTACCAAAACCATGCTCTTGGTCTGAATTGACTTATCAGGCCCTTGCCCAGGAATCCAAAGGACTCCACCACAGACCCTACTAAAGGCACGTGTGTCCCCCAGGTCCCCTCTCTCTGTCTGCACTCTGCCTTGGCCTCCCCATGTGGCCCCTTGAGGCATGCCCGGTGCTTCCTCCAGGACTGTAATAAACTTCTCTATTTCAACATATCTGTGGTCAGGTGTTGCAGTAAGGCTCACTATTCTGTGCTCTGTGCTCCACTTAACAAATGTTAATTTAACAAAGTCAGAACACCCACACTCTGCCTTCAGAGAATTTCTAGTGTGTGGAGGGAGGTAGGGAGGAGTCCAGTCAGTTAACACATTATTACAGGGCAGTGAGTCCGGTATTTTGACAGAAGTATATGCAAACGGGGCTGAGAGCAAAAAGTGGGCATCTAATAAAATCTGTAGGGGTATCAAAACCAGGGAAGGTGTCTTGAAGGACGACTTGATAGTGAGGAAAAGAATAAGTAGGCAGAAGTGTAGCTTGAGGAAGGGCAAGAGGTGAAGAATGGACTGACTTTAAAGCCATGTTAATAATTCTAGCTACTACCTGTTTAGCACTTACTATGTGCTAGGTACAGTTACGATAAGGTACATACCATTACATTACCAGCTCCATTTTCCAGGTCTGGAAGTGAAAGGAGGCTTAGAAGAGATAAGTGACTTACCAGAGATCACCAGTGGGTGAGCTGTGTGGCCAGAGCTAGAACTTAGGCAGTCCTGTCTTAACTCTTATCCACTCTGAGAAAGGGCAGGGGAGAAGAGGTGATGCCGCAGAGGTACCCTTTGTAATGTGTCCTTTGTTAAATTATGGGAGTTCTCACTGTCCTGAAGGCTACAGAGACAGTTAAGGATTTTAATCAAGGTGTGACATGATTGGATTTACAGTTTAAAAAGATCAGATGATAAAACAAAAAATGGATTTTCCAAAAGAGACCTGGAGGCTGGAGTGATCAGTTAAGGTGTGGCAGTCATGTTGGAGAGATATAACAGGCACTGAAATAGTAGTAAAGAGATGAAAAGGAGGAAGCAGGTTGTCAGGTAGAAATGACAGGCTGAGGAACCGAACAGAACTGGACACTAGGGCACTCTGCTCAGAAGTTTAGGTTGGGACAGTACCACGTTACATTTCACAGCACACTGCCTAATACACAGTAACTTTGAGAACACAGGGGACATATTTGAGTGGAAGGAATTAAAGAATTTACTTTTAGCTATTCATTCAGTCGCTCATCAAATATTTCTGAAGAGCTGATGACCAAAGCAAAGTTCCTGTTCTCATGAAACTTACATTCTAATGAAGAGAGGAAGATGCTAAACCAACAACAGAGTAAATACATGTTATGTCACATGGCATTACGTATTATGGAGAAAAACAATCCAGGAAAAGGAAAATTGGAAGTATCTTGGGCAGGTTGAAGAATTGCTTTAAGACTTTATTTTGGTACTGCTTTTTTACATAAAGGATCATCAGGGAAGTCCTTCCTGATGACACGCATGGTATTGGAACAGAGAGCTGAGTTACAGGAATAGCTGTGCAGAAGCCATGGTGGAGATCTGCATGTGCACTGTGGCCATGGGCTTCAAGTATCTGCAGGGCAGCTGAGGTGATTCCAGGTAGGCAGTTGGACACCCTGTACAGGTCCTGAAAGGAATAGTGATTTATTCCAGAGATGGTCAGAAGGGAGCAGGGTATCTTTGAAACCAAGGAAAATTCATTCTACAACTTGACCCACGGAGACAGCTGATGTGTTCACTGAATTTGAGAAGAAGGAAGTCACTAGGGACCTTTCCCAGAATGCAGTGGGAACAGTGCATTGAAAATACATGGGAGGGAAGGAAGTAGCCACTTTTCAAGAAATTGGGCTGTGCAGAGAAGAACCTGAGCTGGTCACTAGAGAGCACTATGGGGCCAAGGGTGCACCTTCTTTCTTTTTCTTTTTTTTTTTTTTAAAGATGAAATAGATCAGTTTTGACATATTGAACATGCTAGGGAAGAAAGGCAGTAATTGTTGGATCAAGGTTCCTGAGGTGTGGAGAGATGAACCATAACCAAGAAAGGAATCTCCTAATGAAAGACTAGGAGGGGAAAACAGAAGACGCTGCAGATGTAAATGTTTGTAGTTTGAGGGCAGGGTCTGGTTTTGAAGCTTGATTACCTCCATTTTCGATGGGAAGAGGAATCATCTCTTGCTGTGAGTTGGATAAGGAGGTTAAAAAGTTTAAGGAAACTGGAGGTCATTGAAGTCTTGAAATAGAACTGAATGGGAATCAGAGGTGCTTAAAAGTAAGAAGAGTTCTTTGCAGAGAGCGCCACTAAAGTTGGAGGTGAAGTGCTCCCCTAAAGTGGAGATTCTGCACTGAAGGCAGAGTTGGCTTTCGGATAAGACAAAGAGGCAGAATAGAGTGAGAAGGGCCAGGACAACAGGACGGTTGCATAGAGTTTGGAGGCAGAGCAGAGATTTGGTCAGGGGTGGGGGGGAATCATGACTTAAAGGGCGTAGGAGTAAGGCAGACAGTATGGAGGCTGGTTGTCTGGGTGTGGAGAAAGCACACAGAGACCCAACGTCGGAGTGGAATGAAATAATACAACTGAATCTATATACTAAACAGACTCACAGGCATAGAAGACAAACTTACGGTTACCAAGTGGACAAGTGAAGGCTATGGGGATTACCAGATACAACTACGATATACATAACATAGGTAAGCAACAAGGACCTACTGTATAGCTCAAGGAGCTACATTCAATAGCTTGTAATAACCTACAGTGGGAAAAAATCTGAAAAAATATATAACTGAATCACTTGGCTATACACCTAAAACTAACACAATATTGTAAATCAACTATACTTCTACAAAACAATTCTTTTTAAAAAGGCAGAAAATAGAGAAGTAGAATCATTTACATTTGAATGGTAATCAAGGGTCTCAATTTTAAAAGGTAACTTCACCAAAAATATTTTCATAGCCATTACCTCTGGGAAAGGAAAATGGGCAACAGAGGAGGGTGGAAGACTTTTACTTTTGACTTTACAGTATTCTTCCAGACTGTTAGAAAAAAATGTTATACCATGAACATGTATTATAACTATTATTAAAAAGCTAGAAAGAGTATGGGTTAACGGAGTGTGTCGTTACCTAGAGCACATATTTATCGATAAAATCAGGGCTGTAGTGAGATGATACTGTCGGAAGGGGACATCATCAGAGTCCCCACCTCAAAGACCCTACCTCATTTCCACATCAACCTATAAGCTCAGATTTCCTGACACCCTTCTTTTGCTTTCCTTCACTCTAATTCACTTAGGGCTGAAGGTAACGCCAAAATATTTGTGAGAAAAAAAAGTATTAGAAAATAAACTTTATATGGCAAGATTTTCTATTTAATTATCTCAACAGTTAGGAAATCTCACTGAGGATCTTTGAGGGGGACTCTGTGAGAAGGAAAAATTGACGGAGTAAATGTAATCGGGCTTTCCCATCAAGTGAGCTGAAAGTCTAAACCACTCTAAAAGGTTAATCTGTAAAACTTCAAAGTCAAATGTTTACCTTACCTATCCCTTTACAGTCTTCCTTGACCCTAACTGAATGAAGTCAAGACATGTGATTTTATCTAAAGCACGTAGAAAACAGAGGGGGACAAATGAAGAGAGATTCAGCCTCAGAGTTCCACTACTTATGTCTATAGTGCTTTTATCTAGTAGTCAAAGTACCTTTGTTGCAAGACATATAAAAAAGATGCAAGTATTTAGGGCAGTGAGAATCATGCTATCAAACTTGAATATAGCACTTAGAGCACTGGTTGACCAAGCTCTTGGGAAATTATCTTTTTTTTTTAATTTTTAAGAGAATTTTATTGAAGTATAGTTGATTTATAATGTTTTAATTTCTGCTGTACAGCAAAGTGATTCCATTATACATATATTTTTTTTCATGTTCTTTTCTAGATGGTTGATCACTGGATATTAAATATAGTTCCCTGTGGGGAAATGAACGTTTTTCTTTCAGTGGCTCTTATACTAATGCTGGATTCCAAAATGTGACTTTTACACATTCTTCAAAGAACTGTAGCTGGAATGTAGGACTAGTCTAAACACTGAGAAAATGGATGCTGTAACCTGAGCAGTTCTTTAAAAGGATTACCCAACTTTTGTAAAGGATTGCTATTATTAAATAGTTTATATGGCTTCGACTTACGTTTCCCTTTGGTTTACAAATTTGCTTTATAGGTCAAAATTTTCCTTAACTTTGACAATTCAAATTTCACTACTCTATCTTGTTTACTTACAGCCCTAGTTTTTATGGCAGGTGTTTGGGGGAGAAAGCCAATATAACCTGTGGCTGACTAAGGGCTTTTGTCTGCATTTGTGAGGCATCCTTTCCTGCATATGCAGGAATTCCCTTGCTACTGTGAAATGCCTCTTTGTTATCTGTGGAGGAGTGCTGGAAAAATCATGAACTTCTCCACTCCTCCTAAGCACAGATTTTACCGTTATTTATATGAGAGACTGAAATTCATTATCAACATACACCAAAGGATTTTTTAACATATAAGACACTTTTAAAGCATGTTTTAGTCCCCATTAATTGGCTTCTCGAGAACTTCCTCTTGTATCTTTCTGGATTTCTCCACCAAATTTCTTTTTCATATTTTGATAGCAAAGAGTAATTTGTTACAGATGCAGGCGTAGAGAACTTGGGTTTTTGTCTCAGTCCTCTTGGTAAATGCTTGTTACTGAACTGCTCTTCCTTTATTTAATATCCCACTACAGGGTCTTCACTGGTTTGAAAAGCGTGTATTAAACACCAGGCAGAGCAATCATTCTTTTCCCTGGATGCATAGTGCCATAAATGCTCCAGTCCACAGGCCAAATGAATAGGCTAATTGAGCAACTGCCTGTGTTATGTTAACCAGCTGAGGGATATTTCTATGACTTTTTTAAAGGAAGCTATATTTCATGTGAATTAAAGAGCTTAAAATAATTACAATGGAATGTCAAGCTTCTTATTTTTTAGTGTGAAGTAACAAACTTGGGCGGTGTTTGATGTTAACTGATTCAAGCAGTATTACTGGTGATGGCGGTAGTGTAAAATCAGGAACAAAATTCTATTCAGAATTTATCCTTAAAGATGCAACCATCATGACCAACTCTATTAGTGAAGCTGGAAAGCTGCCATGTCATTAATATTAAGTTGATTTTATATATGAAAAGAAATATTTTCAGGAAGAATAAATTACTAAGTGTTGAGGCTAACACATCATCCACTTGGTGGTGTTGGGCAAACGTGTGCGAATGCTTTCAAGCATAGAGTGGTGTGAATGGGAAACGTGCTTATTCTGGACAGCATAGGGAGCTAGTCAGGGATTTTCAAAACACGTGTTTCAAGATACCTTTATAATTAATTACATTCTCCTCGTGCCTGATTTTTTTAATTATGAAAATTTTCAAACACACACAATGGTATTAATCCCCACGTAACTATCACTCAGGTTCAACAATTATCAAGATTTTCCTACATTTTCCTCCTCCATCCCATTAAATGATTAAAGCCATTCCCAAACATCATTTCATTTCACTGTTAGTATGCAAACCATTAGTATGCATTCCTTAAACTGACATCACTCTAAAGCCATTTAAGCATTCTCAGGTATATGTAATCTGGAACATTGCCTAAATGTAGTAAAACTCTTTCCATCAAAAGTACCTCAGGGGAAGGGCACTCGTGAATGCAGAGGCATACATCTCCTCTGAAGGCAGTTGTACCTGTGCAATTTTCTTCTCATTGCCAAATTAGCTGGAAAAAAAAAAAAAAAGAGGAAAATATCAGGGGCATTTACAGAAAATTAGTTGTTTAATCTGAAGACTGAGGGAATACTTTCGATCCAGATTATACTGTGATTATTTGCTCTCTGTTCAGATGTGATTGTGATATAAAAAATTAATGAGATGCAAATTCACGATGGGTATTCCTAACAGTTCATTGTTGATGGTGGGATTTAATAGTAAAATTCTTCTCCTACATGACTTCTTTCTAAATGTTTCTAGACTTCTTAGTTTACGTAGTGAATTAATCACAAATATTTTACAAGACTGTTGTCCAAGTTGCTCTGTATTTTGAGAGGAGAAACAATTTGAATAGCAATTGCTATAAACAGTAAGAAGGGATCAGCTGCTTTCTGAATCGCTAACTTGAAACTTTTTTCTTATTTATGTAAAGAGGTCAGACCAGGAAACGTCATTTGAAATAGTCTCAGTGATCAAACTTCTAACTAAAAGGCAGAGACTCAATGTTTAACCAGTTATGCACCATTTTCTGTTGTAAATGGAGAAGTATATTATCAAGGGAATAATCTAACATGTTTAGATATAAATGGTGTCACCTTTCTATTTAAATTTAGGTTGGCTTTTTCCTTAGAAAACTTTCTAATTTTTTTTTTCTTTTTTACTTGGCAGCGCTTTGAAATCTTAGATATTTGGTTCTGAAGTAAAAGCACTTTAAAATAACTTTGTTTACTAAATCCCTGTTAGTTAAGAACAACATGACTGATACAATCCTTGAAAAATGTGTCAAGTAAATTAATATTATTTATCTTGACCACACATATTTTTGACTTTTTTTGGCTCTGTAAGCACAATAATACTAAAATGGCACTTTTTAAAGTGACACATCTAACTATATATCTAGAAATAACAGCTCTCTTTTTACTTATAAGGACACCATATCTATGATAGCTTTGGGATCAATTTTCTTCGAATTTAGAAAAATAGTGGTCAAATATTTATCATCATTCTAAAATCCAGCTACTTTTTAAATATCCAAATAACAGACCTAACGGGATAGATAACATACTTCTGAAATCCCACACACTCACCCCCAAGCACACCTACGCGATTTTCGACAGAGACACAGTCATGCTCAGAGGCCCGTTCACACAAACAGGCACGAAAACAAGTCACTCGGTACAAATCCATCCAAGTCCTACCTGGTCTCTGTCCGGGGGTAAGTAGAAGACTCATCATAAAAACAAGAAACAGAAAAAAGAATTGTTGCAATCTCATTTTTCTGCCACACTACGGTGGAGCAAAAGCGCGCAAGGTAAACCCAACAGTCTTTGAACAGTCTCTGCGGTATCTGTGTGGCGCTCCTCACATTCTGAGGACAAACCTCAGAGCACAGCCAGCTGCGTTTTCCAGAAAGGTTAATGATCCCTGCAGATAAGGTTACTGGTGCTGTTTTGCGGTCGGAGCCCCTCGGCCCCAGACCCCTCCTCCCGCCCCGGCCACGCCCCTTGATTTCCATAAGTAAATATTGGTGAAATAAACCAGTCAAGCGTCCTGTGACTTGGGTGGAAATGTCCGCCGCCGACTCCGAGGGGAGGCGGACTGCGCCCAGAGCAGGGTGTGGAGAGTGTGTAGAACCACACACTGGCCGGGCTCCCTCCCTCACCATTTACATCTGTTTACACTTTGCATTGTGCACATCGGTGTCACATGCAGAAACCCAGAGGAATGACAGGAAGTCTCTTGTCCCTTTCAGAAGGAAATCTGAAGCTCTAACTTAGACTGCCAAATGCTTTGTGGCGGAACATGTGCTGAAATGCTTTCTCTTTTCCAAACCTACTGCAAAGTGGTGCCTGTTTGCCCCAAATCTCTAAATTGCTTAATCTATGTGGGTTTACATCAATAAACATTCCTGGGATTTAGAATGTTCTGAAATTAATCTGAAAAATGTTCATCTTTTTTATTTTGTAAAGTGCAATTTCTAAAGTAATAGAGATCATTTTCATCTGCAGTACATCCAGGATTTTAAAAAAGTAAGTTCAGGCAAGCCACAAATTCATGAAATCTGGGTTCTGTTAAAAGATTTATATATGGTGGCTGATATATTTCGGACACAGAAATTAGGAATGAGCTCAGAAGACAAAAGCAGTCTCATGTCATCTTTTACACACATGCTCCAAGATCGCTTGTGGTTTTAAGTGTTTCCTTGCCTGTCATATGTAGCTGTTACAAATGAAAATGACTGTACTTAACTATAAAGTAAATGGAAATGATAGTGTAGACACAGTCAAATTCAGGTAGATCCCAAATACCAAATCTAAAGCATCTGCAACTTGTGAATTGGCAGGAAGTTTGTTGCGTTTCACTTTTCTAGATTCAGGTAGTTGGTACACAACCTTGGGCTTCCTAAGGTTTGAAATTAATGCATAATTTGCTTATCTTAGACATCAGTCAGTGAGAATCCCTGCCTGCCTGCTTATCCATGAACTTTATAACAGGCGAGAGCATACAGCAATTCTTAAAATCCTGAGAATATTTGCCCATCTGGGAGTTAAAGGGCACTATGCAGCCCTGCTGCATTTATACGTCATTCCGTAACATCAGTTGAATACAAGAATATGGACTCACGATATAAAAGTGCCTCACGAATAGCAAAGGTAATGTTCGGATTTTACTCCCCCTGTAAGCTTCTCAGTACAGCACCCTGGAAAACCAACTGCAAGCTGACAAAGCCGAGTGTTAAGTCGAGCAAACCAACAGGAGACCAATACAGATTTTGACAATATAACTTCAGTCCAAGTCTTAGGTCTATGTCTGTTCAAAGGTACTACTGTGGTCAGCCTTCTTTATGGATAAGATAGTGACTGCCACAAACCGCATAACTGATTCAAATTTGTGTATTTCATTACCAGCTGACCAACAATGAACTCCTAGAATACACCTAACATAAGCAAGTACTGAGGAAGGTGTTCCCACCAATCAGGATACAGTGAAGTGTTGTATTTAACTCATGTAAGTAAACTACCTGGTTTTCCACCTGAAAGAGAAAGCAAGGTAATGTATTAGAAATACATAAATGTATTACAAATTTATGAAAGTTAAGGCATTATTTATTTACATATATTTTAAATTGTTCTTTCCAAATATAACTTAAGAAGAAGTTGACGATGATGATTAAGCAGTTGGTTTTCGGAGTCCAATAATATAGTGTATAAAGCTGATGGGCGAACTGAAATGCTAGACATTGGACAGTGACCAGTGAGCTGGCATTTCTACGGGTCATGGATCAAGAGTGGTGGTAAATCACTCGAGTTAGCATTGAACAAGCTGGCCTGGGGAAATCTTAGTGGCAGAGAGCTAGACTGTAAAGATGAGAGTGGCTGTCCACGCAGCGCTTTCAGCCTGCGTCTGGATGAATGGTGAGGCACGTTCACGTGAGCAGAAACCTTGCCCTCCCCCTGTCCCCCCACCCCCTGCCATCTGCAGCACAGATTGGCCTCCTTAGAGTGAGCTGAACACCATCCCTCTGGGCCAGTACCATGCTAAGTGCATCACACGCATTACTTCCCTTAGTCCTCCCCAAACACTCTGAAGGTCTGCCCCCTGTTTATCAGATGAGAAGACTAACCACTAAGGAGGGTGTAGCCTCCAAGGCTACACACGTGGGAAGAGGAGTAGATGGAACTCAGATTTCCTGACCTGGGATCTCAACCATTTTGTCCCCCTCCCCTCTAAGGCTCAATCCTAGTTCTTATAATAATAGCCTGTTGAAGCTATTATAAAAAATAAGAATAAGTTAGGAATATACTTCTTATGCCGGGTTGAAATTCCTGCTAACCTGGAACCTCAGAATGTGACCTTATTTGGAAATGGGGTCTTTGCAGATGTGATTAGTTAAGATGAGGTCATAGCGGGGTAGATTGGGCCCTAAATCCAATATGACTGTCGTCCTTGTGAGAAAAGGAGACACACAGAGACATACAAGGAGGACGCCACGTGACAACAGAGGCAGAGATTGGGGTTAGGCGACTACAAGCATGGGAACACCAAGGATTGCCAACAACCACCAGAAGTTAAGAGAGAGGCAAGATTCTGCCTCCAAGAAAAACTCAACTCGGCCAACACCTTGATTTTGTACTTCTGGCACCGGGAATGATGCGAGAACACGTTTCTGTTGTTTTACTCCAGCAGTTTGTGGCACTTTGTTACAACAGCCCTAGAAAATCAGTGTATTGGGTTAGCCAAAAAGTTCGTTTGGGTTTTTCCATATGATGTTCCGTACATTTTTGGCCAACCCAATACTGCTATATCTTCTGTAAGTAAACATATTCTCTATATAATTCTATGAAAACATACTTATTTTTATGGTGGTATACTGTATATGTCAGGTATTTAACAAAAGTTGTCTTATTTAGACATGATAGTATGATGTAAGTTTCATCTCCATTTCACAGATGAGAGAACACACTCAGAAGTAAGTGACTCGCCCCCAAAGTAAAGAGTTAATGGCAAAGCCAAGATGAGGCCTGTGTCCACCCAGCCCAGTGCTTCTTACTCCTGTGATTTTGGTCCTGAGGCCCTACCCCGCCTGTCCCGTCTTCCTCGCAACTTGGGTCTTACTCTTTGTTCCTCTAGCTCTCTCCCTACAGTAGTGCTCTCTCCATCCTGAAACTTCTCTCCTGGGACCCTTCTTATTAGCCTCATGCAGCCAGACATCTGAATTGAGTCTGCCTGGTTGACCTACTCCTTCCCCCATTTTCCTTGATATGGGGCACACGCTTTCACCACGATGCTGAAACCAGCGTGTCTCATATAAAATTAGTAAACTTTCAAATAGGCCTTTTCTGTAAACACTTCAAACCATCCAAATTAGGCTACCCTCTGCTCACATTTTTCTCTTTTCTTATCTTTGCTCACGTCATGTCTTTCTTTTCTTCGAAAAGACCTGCTCTGTTTGCCCCTGTTTTACTTGATTGGAGTCCTACTAGTTGTCCAGGATTTAATCCAATCATTCAAGATCAGTTCAACAAATATTTGTTGTGTACTTAAATTATTACCACATTTCAGGCTCGGTTCTAGGTACTAGGGATAAAATGAGGAATCAGACACAGTCCCTACTCTTGAATTTAATGTTTACTCATTAAATTTTATCTAATTTAATTTAATTTTCTTATAAATTCATTAGATTTCCTCTATAAGCATTTCCTGATGCCTGCCAACTGAAAGCGATTTCAGTTCTGTTCTAGGAATCTGGAAACTGTCCTCTGTTATCATAGCCTTTTTACCACCACAGTACATAATGCCTCCCGTGTGGGCCATCATACATTCATCCTGGTCTGACAGCTTCTTGAGGACATATGGACTCCTGCAGAAATAAAATCTCCTTGAGTGGAGAGACTTGCCCTTTCTCCTTTTGATGTCTTTGGAGCCTAGAAATATTGAATTCATATTGACTTGAATTGGATATGGGAATCATGAGATATTAAAGAAATGAATGAGAACTTAAAACCAGAATGGCTCCAGAAGTGAATATAGGAACAAAGAAAAGGAATATGTGAAAAAAAAATCTCCTAGAAAAAGTGAATAAGAAAAAAAAAGAGACGAGTTCAGGAATTAATTAGAGCAAATGCTAGGATAGCTGTTTGTGGAAGTGGACCTAGATAAGGATAGAAATTAGGTTACCTTTCAAGTCTGAAAAGTTGTGTTCTGTAACTATGCTCCATAGCCTGTATTTACCTACCTCTGTAAAATGTAAACTTCATGAGGGTAGGAAATCTTACCTGTTTTCCTCATTATTATATCTTTGTTATCTAACTTACTGTTGAATAAAATTCCACTCTAAGTATCCTAGTAAAGTAGATCTTAATGTTGTCAGGATCTGCTCTTGATTCCTAGTTAACCACCTGTCTCTGTGGTGGGCTTAGCTCCTGCCCATAGATGGAAATATTTAAAACTAATTCTGGGGGCTTCCCTGGTGGCGCAGTGGTTGAGAGTCCGCCTGCCGATGCAGGGGACACGGGTTCGTGCCCCGGTCCGGGAAGATCCCACGTGCCACGGAGCGGCTGGGCCCGTGGGCCATGGCCGCTGGGCCTGCACGTCCAGAGCCTGTGCTCCGCAACGGGAGAGGCCACAACGGTGAGGGGCCCGCGTACTGCAAAAAAACAAACAAACAAACAAAAAAACTAATCCTGGTGGAGACAGACTTGGGTTTAGACTCTCCCCTCCCAAGAGTGTTTCCTCTCTGATTCTTGGTTGCTTGGATGGGTGGTGTGTTAACTTCCCCTTCCCAATCTTGCTCTGACTTCAGTTTTCTGCCTGAGACCTCATTTCCTCCTGGCTTCCCATTTCTTCCCTTTCTCTGCTTTCCAACTCTCTGGATTTCACACCAGGACACTGACTGACCTCTGGTTTGGTATGCATCTTTCCTTTGATCCTTGGTTCCATTGTGACCACTTCTGGGTCTAGACCAATCTCATGCTTTTCAGTTTTCATTCCCTACATTAGTTCTCCTAGGCCTCCCTTATTTATCTACTGCTATTCTTGGGTCCCAAATTAACACTGAAGAAGAAACTATCAACAGAAGTTATAGAAAACAGAATCTTAGCAAATAAAAAAAACTATTGTTTTTGTGTGACCAAAATTGGCATTCTCCCTGCTTAGAGGAAATGGTGAGTTAGACATGTTAGAGATATCAAATGTATACAGTTAGAACACTGAGTATGTTAAAGCATTTATTCAGTACAATGCTCACTCAAAAATCTTCCCAGGATCTTCTTGTTGAAAAAACATTACTGATCATAAATGCTGCATCAAGCTAATATCTGAGCCAAAACATATATTTTCACAAGAAACCATAACTCCAAAAAAGGCACACACTATTGAGAGTATGGATAGCTTTCTAGCCCTCATATGCCTGGCAAACCTGAAAAAAAAAAAAAATTAACACAGTCATGGGTTTACTAGACTCTCAGTTATATCAAGTACAAAAATCATAGAAGTCGCAACATGTGCGGAACATTCAGACACCCCCTACATTGTGGTGATTCTTACCCAGGCTACTGGGTTAAAGTGATTGACCAAATGGCATCAAGAAAACTTTTGTCATCGCGGTAGGTTAAAAAGGGATATTTGTAATCTTTACCTATTTTTGTAATGAAGAGTGAATTAGGTAAAAATCATTCAACTGACATAGGGGAAATCCCAATTAGTAATATTTCTCTCTTAAAAAAAAAGAAAAGAAAGAAAGAAGTGAGATATTTTGATTTATCTTCTCTACCCCATTTTTAACCTTGTCTATATGCTTATTTTTATCAAAAACGGTCTCAAGAATTTTCATAATAAATCCAAATGATTCCAAGACAACAATTATTGTTTATCGGATGAATTACTGGGTTGGCCAAAAAGTTTGTTCGGGTTTTTCCATAATGGGAAAACCTGAACAAACTTTTTGGCCAACCCAAGATACATATGCTATAAAGCTGCTAGTGAACCTTGTGTTGGAATTCTTTGAGGGTCTATTTGAGACTTTGAGAGTCACGGAATTTTGAATCTCTTTTGAACCACAGAGCTTGAACGGTCTAGCGTGTAACTGATAGAACAGAAACTTGATATTTGAATCTTGGCTTGTGAATATTTTGTTCATCTCCCAAAGTGAAGGCCGTTTGGTGTAATGGGACTGGCATGACCTTAGAGTCAGGCAACTTGAAGTTTTAGTCCTGGCTTCTGTCACTAAGTCATATGGCTTTGGTCAAGTTGTTTTATCATATCCTTCATTTAAAATGTGAGGTATTTAGGCTTTAAATTTACACATTCTTAAGTTCTCTGAAACCCTGTTTGTCTCCAGTTTCCTCTGGCTGAAAATTTAAGAGGGGTCACTAATTGATTTAATAAAGATGAAGTGAACAGTTGGTATATGCAAGGATTTTGTTGCATTTTATAAGAAAGAAAAATATAAACTCAAAGCATCCAGGTCTTAACTTAACCTCTCGGTGGTAACATGCTCACTGATGTGT